AAACTTACCAAATTTTCACGACCGTTGTGCATAGTCGATAGAATTTAATATATTTTGTGATGACTGCATGTGTATTTGTGAAAGAGTTATATATATGATTTTCGACATCTTTTTGGAACGAATGACATTATTGCATAACACCATGATTCTCACTAGCTTCTTCCGAACCAAATTATTGCATAACTTCATTCCTAAACAAATCTCTCTCTCTCTCTCTCTCTCTATATATATATATATATATATATATATGTGTGTGTGTGTGTATTAAAATTTCACTAATTATATTTTATTTAACTTTTTAGAATTATTTGAATACTATTTGGTGATAATTCTATTAACAACTAATACATATTTATATAGACAATCTTCAGATCATTAATCAAAGTACTCATGCTACAATACAACGCGCGGTTCCCATACTAGTTAATAATAAATCAAACTGAAATATATTAATTAACATATTCTCTTATTTATTTAAAAAAATTGTTTGTATTAATTACCATATTATATTATTAATGAATTGTTTTAAATATATTATGAAATGTTAATTTCTATAAATTTATAAACGTGTTATTTTACATTTCCAACTAGCTTATATCAAATTTATATAGTTTATCTAGGGGTGAGCATAGGCGAGTACCCGCCCTTTTTGACAGGAACCGGAACCGGCGGTTCTTGAGATATTGGAACCGGAACCGGTTAGAGCGGTTTTTAAATTTTTGGAACCGGAACCGCCGGGAACCGGTTCCGGTTCCGGGTACCCGCTTCCTAAAATATTAAAATTTTATTATTTAGAAATAAAAAATAAAACATTGCCAAAACACTAAATAAATAAGCAAGAATACAAATTATACAGAATAATTGTTACAAATATTGTTTAACGATTACAAACTATAATAGATTAATAGAAAATATTCAAAGTTTAACGATTACATACTATAATGGTAAATGTTCAAAGTTTAACGATTATATACTATGAATCCAAGTGAATACATAATTTGAAAAAATATGAATCATTTTATATGGAGAATTTAGATGAATAATGAAGATGACGATGTGCTTTCAAGATGTAAACCTAATATAAATTTGGTATTAAAAAATAATAATTATTTTTTTACTTGAAAAATACCGGTTACCCGGCGGGTAACGGTTCCGAAAAATTGAGAACCGGAACCATTCTCAATCGGTTCCGTATTTTAGGAACCGAAACCGGAACCAGAACCACTCATATCGGTTCCGGTTCCGGAACCGACAGTTCCAAGGCGGTTCAGGTTCCATAGTCGGGTACCCCGTTCCGCTGCTTACCCCTAAGTTTATCAGTTAACTTATCATCTAGTAATTAGTTTATCAACTATCAGTTAGCTTATTAGCTATTTTACCAAACATAGTCTAACTTTTAAGAGCTAATCCAAACCTTTTTTTTATATATGTTTCTTTTAATATTTTCGTGACATATGAAGCCTGAAGCCTAAATCCACAAGTGCATTCAGGCTTCATTTGGTACACTGGATATAACAGCCTAGATTTTGTTATTGATTAATCTTGGTATATTTATTTATATGATAGTTGGATGCTTTATCTACTTGTATCCTTGTTTTAATTAGTTGTATTTTGGACTATAATGTAAGTCCAAGTTTTATGTAAATGGTCAATTATGTAGAAAATAATTTGGTCTTAGGACTAGAAATGTTAAGAAAAATCCATGTAAAGACTAATATTGAATTAGGCAATTGATGAGGGGTAATATTAGAAAAATCTTCTAAATTGGTGATATTTTGAAGATTTAAAGCTACTTGATTGAAGAGAATGTAAAGAAGCAAGATATGAATCTATAAATTTCAAGATTTTTTGGTCTAATTTGTTGATTTGTGATAAAGTTGGGAAGGTTTATGTTAGGGTTCATAAGGTTTTGTTTAGTAAGCTAAACCTTTGTTAAATGATGTTATTTTTATGTCATTGTTGGTTAAAGAAGATATGAATTAAGTTTTAGTCATTTATTTGCAATATGGTAAAGGTAGATAATGATTCTTGATGGTTTTAGTGTTTAATTTATATAAAAGGGGCTGTTTTGAGTTGTGCGTAAGAATCTTAGTACTGTTGGTTGTTTAAAAATTCATATAAAATCACTCATTGATCCGATTAAGGTGTACCATATATTGTTGGAAAGATATTTGTGTCTACTACAACTTTGTGGTTTATGTCCAGACTTGATTTTACCTCCATAATGCTCAAAACAGTGAGTTTATGTAGCTGGTCCTGTTCAAAAATGGGATTTGCATACTGTTTTTTTTAGAAAATTCATATAAAATAGGTTTTTGCTCCAAACGGAGTGAATCCAAATCGACTGGAACCCTAAGTAATCGACCTACAACTTTTGTTAAACATTAACACCTGAATGCATCTCTAAGTATGAGAAAAATGATCAAAGTCAAGTTGGTTCAAAACTGTCTGGTGCAGGGGATTTAGTAGCTTTATTTTTGCTTGTACTTTGTGCTTTGAGGATTGTAACATCCATAGATCTTGTATCAATCAGTCACAATCATGTGTAACTTATTCAGGACCAATCTTAGAATAAGAAAGGGGGATTAACAAGGGGATAGGAGCTACGGGCTTACTTCTTCGATTGTCGTCTAAGGTACAAATACCCGATTTTTGTGACTTTCTTTAATCACTAATTCATTATAGAGGTAATATTGTATCTCATTACCATCTCGGCATCTATCACTTGTATATAATTATAGTTTCATATTTTGGGAGATTACCCTTTTCACATTGAATTGATATGTTTTTGGTGATTTGAGCACTTTGGGCTTTAAGGCATGACATCTAGGGCAATGTTGTCGTGACGCCTCCATGGCAGCTATATATTGTCATGGCGTCCTCGCTATTATACCCCAATGTTAATAAGTGGGTCTGGCCTGGTACCGGCTAATTTGAGGGCGAATGGATTGATCCTAAGAACCGTTATCGGGAGCCGTATTCGAGAACCATTTTCAGGAGCCGATTATCGGAAAGGAATTGAGTGTATTGCCCTACACTCATTTTCCATTGTTCGAGTGGTCCGTACAACCCTCGAACCCAATTGATTTTCTTATTTAATTTTCAATTCTTGACTTGATGATATTATTTTAAATTATTTCAGTATGGACATTATTAATTGATCCCTTCATGTTCTGGTTTTCGGATTCCTTATAATTATTATCTTTTATTAACTCGATTTATACTTGCAATCTTGTTACTTTAATTATCCGTTCACTGAGCATTTGGCTCAGCCGAGGTTTGTTTTGTCCTCGGCAGGTACATGATCATAGGTGGGATTATCACGGGACTGAGAGCGAYGGAATATGACTATTTTGAAGACGACMTTGGATAGTATAGTAGTTTTTGTTTATGTATATATTGTAACTATATCCATGTTGTCTTAACTTTTAGTCTACCACGTTCTTTTGATGGATGTTCATAGTAACTCTGGTTATCTTGTATATATATATATTAGCTATTTATCTTGTTATGTTTTCCTCCGTAACACACCAACCTCCGGCCATGCGAGACAAGGGTGTTACACTGGACAAAACAGAGAAAAATAGAACATGGATGTTTCACGTTTGATTAAACTTTTATGGCAAACAAACAAGAAAAAAATAGAATAAAGTGGAACAGACCCGTTCCACCTCTACCCCATGAAATATGTTAGAACAAACTTATATTTTACCAATATAATCTCAAAATAAACTTAATTCTCTTCTAAAACATCAAATAGTTTCATTTTTACATTTTGTTCATTTCTTTAAATTTTATTTATTATATTTTATGATTTTTAAACTTTCATTTTAATATACTCAAAATATTATTTTTATACTGTTTTTAAAATT